CTCCCCTTCTCCCTCAGCATCCTCTGCAACAGAGGCTGAAAAACAAAAATCTCTATTTTTCAGGCTCTCTTGCAGCTGGAAGTGAACACATGGCATTGGTCTGGCCAATGGGATGTAAGCAGAAGTCTGTTCACATTGCTTTTTTCTCCCCCTTCCTTCCATCCTGGAACATGGACTAGATATTTGGAGTTGTAAAAGCCATCTTGTGACAAGGAGGAAAGGGCCAGGAGATTTTTACAGAGACCGTGGCCCCAGATTGTTGAGAATCTGGTATCTGGTTCTGTGTAGCAGAAAGCAATTCTGTCTTACACAAGGCTAAACGAGTAGCTGAGTGAGGAGAATCTAGCCAAGACAGGAAAGCCACCATGACTGAATGTTTCCGGAAGGACTGCACAGAACCAATGCAGATACCAACCTTTATAATCAGGGTGATTTTTCCTTTGCACCTTCTTCATACTATTACAATAATTCTTTATATAGTATCTTGACATTAAAACAATGTTAGTGGATGCAGGAACCCTGTAGATATGTCATTTTTCATTTACTCTGTGAAATAGTGTGAACATCATAGCCTGAAAATTCACTTGGGGGCCCCACTATATATATGTTTGAGAGTTGCAGTCAATAGGAAACTGAAGGGTTTCCCTTAAAATGCAGAGGGGTAGACAATGAAGGAGGGAGGGTTTCCTTTATTCCGTCTTTCTTTTGACAGCTTCCAATCTTGCTCTCTCTTTTACCCCACCCCTCTTCATGGCCTCCTAGGCTTTGGGGCCAGGCCTGAGGACTGGGGCATAAAACTTCTTATATAGGACAAGTAGTCTAAACCCTGAAGTTTGGTCTCATGGGACAGAGAAGGACTCAAGAAAGGCAAAGGGCCAGTGGTCTTGAGGCAGTAAGCTTCTCATTCATTACAGTGGACAATGTCAATGTCAGTTTTTTCTTGCATAGACAGATATGGGTTCATGACATTCCTATTTCCGTAACAAGGTCCCAAGGCAAACAGTCTGCCTCCTCCTTAACCCATCCCTCGTCCCTGCCCACTTAGGAGATAGCGTTACTGAAGGCCTCTGTTCTACTCCCCTTCTTCCTTGGTTTCTCATCCATCACGCACCCTCTTTCCTTCCCATAGAACCAGCACATTCTCCTCTGATTCTTTTTTAAAAAAATTTTTTAATATATATATTTTATTGATTATGCTATTACAGTTGTCTCATTTTTTTCTCCCCTTTATTCCCCTCCACCCTGCACCCCCCTCCCACCAGCATTTCCCCCACCACTTAGTTCATGTCTATGGGTCGTACATATAAGTTCTTTGACGTCTCCATTTCCTTTATTATTCTTAACCTCTCCCTGAATATTTTTTATCTACTATTTAAGCTTCTTATTCCCTGTACCTTTCCCCCCATTCTTCCCCCTCCCCCTCTCTCTGATCTCCATTTCTGTGATTCTGTTCCTGTTCTAGTTTTCTGCTTAGTTTGTTTTTGTTTTTAGGTTCAGTTGGTGATAGTTATGAGTTTGTTGTCATTTTACTGTTCATAGTTTTGATCTTCTTTTTCTTAGACAAGCCCCTTTAACATTTCATATAATAAGGGCTTGGTGATGATGAACTCCTTTAACTTGACCTTATCCGGGAAGCACTTTATCTGCCCTTCCATTCTAAATGATAGCTTTGCTGGATGGAGTAATCTGGGCTGTATGGCCTTGTCTTTCATGACTTTGAATACTTCTTTCCAGCCCCTTCTCGCCTGCAAGGGTTCTTTTGAGAAATCAGCTGATAGTCTTATGGAAACTCCTTTGTAGGTAACTCTCTCCTTTTGCTGCTTTTAAGATTCTGTCTTCCTCTTTAATCTTGGGTAACTTAATTATGATGTGCCTTGGTGTGTGCTTCCTTGGGTCCAACTTCTTTGGGACTCTCTGAGCTTCCCGGATCTCCTGGAAATCGATTTCCTTGGCCAGATTGGGGAAGTTCTCCTTCATTATTTTTTCAAATAAGATTTCAAGGTCTTGCTCTTCCTCTTCTCCTTCTGGCACCCTTATGATTCGGAGGTTGAAACGTTTAAAGTTGTCCCACAGGTTCCTAAGCCTCTCCTCATTGTTTTTTGAATTCTTGTTTTTTCATTCTGTTCTGGTTGAATGCTTATCTCTTCCTTCTGCTCCCACTCATTGATTTGAGTCCCGGTTTCCTTCCCTTCACTGTTGGTTCCCTGTATATTTTCCTTTATTTCATTTTGCCTAGCCTTCAGTTTATCCTCCATTTTGGGACCATACTCAACCAATTCAGTGAGCATCCAGATTACCAGTGTTTTTGAACTGTGCATCTGATAGGTGGGCTATCTGTTCATCGCTTAGTTGTATTTTTGGAGCTTTGATCTGTTCTTTCATTTGAGCCATATTTCTTTGTCTCAGTGCACCTATTATATTGGGAGGGGCGGAGCCTTAGGAACAGGACAGAGCGGGGCAACCCAGGTTGCTGTGTTGTGACGCTGTGTGTGGGGGAGCGGCCTGAGAGGGAGCAATGCCACTTGCTTGCATCCTGGCCGGCTTTCAGTCACTCCTCCAGCCACCCACAAGCAAACTGGGCCCTTCTGGTGCTGATTCCCAGGTGGGTGGGTTTGTGTACATTCTAGGGCCCAAAGGGTCTCTCCAACGGACTCTCCTGTGAGGCTAGGAGTTTCTCCTGCTGCCACAACCCCCATAGGTTTTTACCTCCAGAGGTTTTGAAGCTTTCTTTTCCTGTTCTGGAACCCTGCATTGCGAGGTCTGTTTTGCTCCACAGCTGTTCCTCTTGGTTTATCCCCATGCGAATGTAGGGCGCCTGGGTCTGCCAGACGCCACCTCGCCAGACTGGTCCTCCAGCTGCCGCCTTGCTGAGGGTCCTCTCTGCCCCGGCTGCGCATCTCTACCCCTCCTACTTGTCTGGATGAATGTTTCTTCTTTAACTCCTGGGTTGTCAGACTTCCACACAGTTCTATTTTCTGGCAGTTCTGGTTATTGTTTTTAAATTGGTTGTTGTCCTTCTTTTAGTTGTGCGAGGAGACAAAGTGTCTCCCTCCTGATTCTTGCCTCAACATCTAAAGCCGCTCCACTCCACCTTAAGGTCCCATCCTCCTTCCTGTGTCCCCCTCTAACAACCTGGCTTCCTCCTTCCTTAGTCTTACTCTCTTCTTCCAGGTCAGTCCAACCTCCATAGTCCTAGTCTAGACCTCAAGAATTGCTCTGTGGTTTCCTAAGTGCCAAACCCCACAGACTGTGTGATCTCTACTCTGTTCAACAATGTTGACCACTCTCCTTCCGGAAATCCTCTTCTCCTTTGGGTACTGTGGCGGAAACTGCCAGCGGTGCCTGCTGCTTCCCAAGCCACGATGACTCTGCGTCCCTGTGTGGAGCCCTGCCCTTTCTCCACAGCCCGAGACCTGCAGATCTCAATGTCCAGGGAACACCTCCCCCTGCCTGTCACACCTATGTCGTGCCTGCTTCCTATGCAATATCGTCACAACTGAACTTGCCAGCTTCCCCACATTTCACTCCTCCTTCTGGTCATTGGAGCTAGAGAACCCCACTGTCATTCACCTCGAGGGCCCGCCAGGCCTCTTTCCGACAGCTCCAGTGTACTCCCACTTCTGTAGTCCTACTGGCTGAAGCAGGCCCCCATCAGCCTTCCTGGGCCATGACATTAGACTCCTAACTTCCTTTTCTGCCTCTTATCCACCTTTCCAATTGGTTATTTATTTATTTATTTTTAATGTTTATTGATTTTAGAGAGAGAGGAAGGGGAAAGAGAGAGAGAGGGGGAGAGAGAGAGAAATAGTGGTTGGTTGTCTCCAATAAGCTCCCTGGCCAGGAATTAAACCCACAGCCTAGGTATATGCCCTGACCTGGAATCGAACCCCCAGCCTTTTGGTGTATGGAACTACACTCCAGCCAACGGAGCCACACCTGCAAGGGCTCAACTTGGTCTTTTAAACATGCAAATTGACTCATGTCATTTCCCTTCTTAAAACCTTTCAATGGCTCTTTGTTCCCCACAAGGAAGCATTCCAACGCCCTCGCAAGACCAGGACCGGAGCCCTGCATTATCTTCTCAAAATTCCTCATTTTACAGCCACAAACAATCATCTGCAGTTTCCCAAACTTGCCATGATGTTTCCTACTTCCTTGCCTTACTATTCTCTCTGCCTTGTGAACTGGAAACTGTGCAAAAACAAGGTTTTAAGTGAATATTTAAGAATGTACCTCAGGACCTGTCTTCCTGGGGAACCCTGCACCTCCATGCACAGAAACTCAGTGGTGAAGGCCTGTCAGAATTCCAGAGATTTTGTATTGTTAACGTAGTAAAATTGATTAATTATATGTAATTCTCTTTTTAAGCAAAAAATTCTCTGGAAGCCACTGTGAACCAAACTGATTAAAATAAACATCAGCTGCTTTTGTTCTCTTCTCCATATTTTCATTTCAAATTTCGCCTTCATGCAATGTAAAACATCCCCCACTTCACGCTCAACAGATAAGGACATATTTAATTTAACATGCTAAGAGTTTAGGGCTTTCTTCTTTCTCTTTGTCTTATGCTGTTAAAGTTTACCTGCAAGGATCCTGGGATTTTAGGGTCCAGCCCCCTCATTTTCCAGAAAGGAAATCAAGGCTCTATTGACTCAGGAACACGGCACTAGGAGGTGGTCATCAGTGGAACAAGCCCAGGCCCTGACTGTGGATTCAGCAGGGACCACCTCCAACTCATTAAAAAGGCTCCCCTCGGCCTCCAATGAGAAGAGAGCTAAGTAGCCTCCAAATAACCGGTTAAGCTAATCCTCTTACACCACTCCACTTAAGGCAAGATGACTATATAAGGGCTATATAAGGGCTATATGACTATATAAGAAAGAGGAAATGAAAAGAATTAAGTTCAAGGCTCTGTTTGCCCAGGGACTAGAACAGCTCTCTCCTCTCCTCTCCTCTCTGACTCCGTGCCCCAGCCCAGGGGCAGATGGAAAACCACTCACAGTCTGGGTGACAGGCTTGACCTCCTGGAGCTGCACAGCCAGGCCCAGGTCGGACAGCCTGCAGTTGCCAAAGTCATCCAGGAGCACGTTCTCAGCCTTCAGGAGACGATGCCAAGAGAGCGCAGGGGCAGCAGCCCACAGGTCACCGGGGCCGAGTGGAAGACCACCCTGCTCATGGCCAGGCCTCGCGTGCCCGTGCTGTGGATGTGGAACTTGAGGTCTCCGCCATTCATCAGGCTCACGACCTGGCAGAGATGAGACTTGCTCTCAAAGGCATAGGCCAGAGAGACAATGAAAGGACTGCTGATCCTCTCCAAGATTTCCTTTGCTGAGAGAGCCATTTTCTCGCCATTTTACTTTTTCAGCCTCTTCTTGTCCAGTTTCTTACAGGCACATGTTTTACCAGCGGTTTTCACCTGGACAACACACACCTTAAAGGAAAGAAAGAAAGGGAGAGGAGGCGGTCGAAGTAGAAAGTACTGGAGGGAGGAGGTGGGGAGCAGGGGACAGAAGGTGGAAGGGAGGAAATCAGCTGAAGTGAAAAGACGACTGGCCTCTTGGAAAAGGGAAGCATTTTTCAAGATAGATTCGGGATCACAATAAGGTACCACTTCACCCCCACTTGGGTTAGACTGAAGAAAGGAAAATAACAAGTGTTGGCGGGGATATGAAGACATTGGAACCCTTGTGCACTGCTGGTGGGAATGTAAAATGTGAAAGAGTTTGGTGGTTCTTCAAAAAGTTAAACATATGACTCAGCAATTCCACTCCTAGACAAATGTGAGAGAAAAGTGAAAAAAGGTATCCAAATAAATACTTGTACAAGGATGGTCATAGTGGTACTATTCACAATAGCCAGAAGGTAGAAACAACCCAAGTGTCCATCAACAGGTGGATGGATAAATGAAATGCAGTATACCCACGCACTAGCATGCTATTCAGCCTTAAAGGAATGGTGCATGCTACAACATGAACGAACCTCCAACAATTATGCTCAGTGAAAGAAGCCAGACACAATAGCTCACATATTGTATGACTCTGTTTATATGAAACATCAAAATAGGCAAATCCATGGAGAGAGAACGCAGACCAGCGGTTGCCAGGGAGGGGGAGGAGGGAGAGTGGCAAGTGACTGTTAACGGGTACAGGGGTGATGGAATTATCTTGTAACTAGACAGAGGTGAAGGTTACACAACATTGTAATGTACTAAATGCTACTGAACGGTACACTTTACAATGGTTACTGTTTAATTTTATGTGATTTTTACCTTCAAAATGGTTAATGATTCATTTTAATGTTATGTGAATTTTACCTCAAGAATTTTTTCTACTTAAAAAAAGGAAGAGCTGAGCACAGCAGTGGTACAAAATGAATTCTCAGCTTTCCTTAGATGAGGGTTTTCTCAGGTATCTGCAGTTTTTCTCAAATTACCTCTGTTACCACCTCGAAGGGGAAAGGGCGCTTGCCCATCATACGTCACTACCCTTCTCCAAAATGTCCAGGGCATTTCAGTGGATTCCTCGTGTGGACCCCAAGATAAAGATACTTGACCAATTTAACATTTTGTTTGTTTTTCCTATGCTGTCCTTGTTTTATTTCACATGGTGGTCAAAAAGAGGAGGTGAGAGCAGCTAGGAATTCTCCACAGGTGGCACTGAAATTATTGGTAAGGAAGTTCTCTAGAAATTAAAAAAATAAATAAAGGCAAAACAAAACCCTTTAATGCTGTATCCTCCATCTTCCAACCTGGCTGTTCTGAGACACTTACCTCCCCAAAACCACCTTTTCCCAGCACCCGGAACTCAGTGAAGTACTTGTCCGACACCAGCTGCATCTCAAAGACTTTCCACTGCAGAAACTTGTCATAGAGCAGGTTGGCCAGGAAATCCCGGAAAGAGCTGGTCCTGCAGGAAGGCCATGGCCGCAGCCTCGGCCAGTGTCAGGGCCGCTCGCTCATCCTCGGTGGTGGCTGCTTGGCACCTGGTGGCCAGAGCTGGGCTGAGGAAGGGGTGTGGGTGCCCCAGGAAAGGGCAAGCCCTGCCAGTGCCCACCTGCAATGTGCTGCCCTTGGTGGCGCCCTCTTCAGCCAGCTCCCAGTTCTGCACCTGCTCAAGGAAGGCTACGGCCTCTTGGGATGGGGCACCGTGTCTAGGAAGTCCCAGAAGAGGCGGCAGCCGATAGGCTGCTGCTTGCACAAGCTGTCGAAGTCTGGAGGCAGCACGTGGCCAGGCTGGGCACAGCTCTGCAGCCTGGTCAGCGTTAGGCTCTGGGGGCGCCGCGGCAGCTCCCTGCTGTTGCCCTCTGAGGTCTTCCGGGCCTGCAGGTAGGCTGTGGTGACGATCAGGTGGCCCAGGCCCCCCATGTCCACCATGGCTGAGCCCAGGAAAAGGAAAGGAAGGATGGCGGCTGTGGGGGCACTCGTTCAGGTCTGGAGTGCCAGCTGGCTGGTTTCTGTCCCAAGGTTCAGTAACTCCCAGGTGATCTACAGGAGGGTCTCTGGCCTGCGGGTGGGACTGGTAGGGGCTGCAGAAAGAAGTTTCTCCTGTAAGAAGCTTGGCTGGCTGTGTATAGCTGGTCAGGGAAGGGAACATCAGAGGCCACCTCCTGTCCCCAGAGGCGGCGGCAGCCTGAAACACCTGCAGGGGCTCCTGGTCATCACCTGGTCTTTCTCCACACACACAACCTGCTCCCTGAACACCCAGCTACCAATTTCCAAAGGAAGGGTGTCAGAATGAGGTGCTGTGTGATGTGTTGCTGACAGCAGAGTTTTCAACTGTTCTCCTTTTACATGTTTCCCAGCGGGCTCGAGCTCTGTAAACCCCCAGCAAGGACAGGTCAGGAAGAGGAGCTATGGGGAGCTGGAGAGGTTTTCCTCCTGGTTCCTAGCAGCCTGAGGCAGAGCAGGTAGCAGAGGAGGATGCTCTGGACTCAGAGTCCTGAGGCCTGTCCAAGAAGTCCTTGGGGCCCAAGTCGTGGCCATCAGAGTGGGCTGTGGCTCTCCCACAGCCCCGCCCCACATGCTGAGTGGTCTGCAGAGATTGTCCAGTCATGGCTTTCTTTGTTCTTAAGAGTCTGTGACCTAAAGTACTGGGTTAAAAAGGAGGCGTCACCTTGACCCCAAACATCTCATGAAGTGACACAGCAGGAAAAGCATACCACTCCACACATGCGGTCGAGACTCTTCCCAGGGCACAATCTGAACGTGAAGAAACCTTGTACTGAGACCCAGAGCAGCGAAGTTTCAGGGGGACCCCTTGACATCTTTGCCCACGCTCCCTCACGGAGCCGGGAAGCTTCTCTCCACCGAGATCACTCAGAGCCGCCCCAGACCGCGACCTCACAGAGAACAGAAATTGGTTTAAACAGAGAACAGGGTAAGAACCTCTGCTCCAAAAATAACACTTGTGTCCTACAGGGAAAGTATACTCAGGCCTTTTCTTCACAAAGAAAGGCTAAGGCTGCTTGAAAACAAAGTCATTCAGTATTATGCCAGAATGTTTAAAAGAAGAGAGAGAGCGTGAGAGAGAGAGAGAGAGAGGAGAGAGAGAGAGAGAGAGCTGGTCAGTCTTTTTCCAAACAAACAACCTCTAGCACATGCTCTGTCAAAACATTGTGGTGACTGCCTCAGTCTGTGTGGCAGAGCCTGTGGACCGTCCCCCAGAGCAGATACACACTTGGCCTCAGCTACCAAGAATTATGTAATGAACTCGTGGGTGCCCTTTGGCTTTGCACCGCTGTGCTAGAAACCGTCGCCCCAATGGTAGAGATGAGTGCTCTGCACAGTGACCACTGCTCGGAACCAGGCCAGATGCTTTGAGACTCAAACAAGAAATGCTGGTCCTTTTTTTGTTCTTGACATGTCATCCCAAGTCCATATTTCCAAGTAGTAAAAAATCAGTCTCTCTTGAGAAGGAAATGCTTTTTCCCAGAGTTCATTTTAATCCTCACCCAAGGATATGTTTATTGATTTTAGAGAGGAATGGGGAGAGAGAGTGAGTGACATCAGTGTGTGAGAGCAACATCAATCGGTTGCCTCCCATACACGACCCAACTGGGGATAGAACCCGCAACATTTTGGGATGACGCTCCAACCAGCCGAGCTACCTAGCCAGGGCCCTGGGTTCTTATGAATACAGTGGCAGTCCAACAGGGCAGAACTTTGAGAAAATGGTAGAATTGTCATCACATAGGTATTTAACCTTGTCACTAAAACAAAGTATGTTTTTACTGACAAATATTTGTGCTACAAACTGCTTGATTCCCATCACACGAGTATTTTCTTTCATCCTAGTCTTGTTCAATAGATACATGGAAAACCACAAATAGAATTCAAGATTTTTCTAGTAGCCACATGAAAAAGGTAAATAGAAACCAGTGAAATTAACTTTAATAATATATTTTATTTTGCCCAATATGTGTAAAGTATTATCATTTCAACATGTAATTGATGAAAAAACATGGTTGCTAAAGTTGCCAAAGGGCTATTCTACAGCCTTTTTTCGTGTCCTGAGCTTCCAGAACCTGCTTGGCATTTTGCCCTTATCACACATCTCAATTCAAACTGGCCACACTCCAGATGCTCAGTAGCCACGTGTGGCCGGTGAACCTTATTAAACAGCACAGACTTAGCCCTTCTTTTCATAATTGTATCATTCATAAATAAGAGAAAATTTTTCTTGTTTTTATTTGTTTTCTAATTACTAATAGCATAGAACATCTGAGTAAAAAAACAAACAAACAAACAAGAAACCACTCTCGTAGTCATTAAAAATTACCTGACTGATGAAAACACAATTTAGATAATATAAAAATTAGACCTTACAAAATGACTATTTGTTGCCTTCTGGCAATTGTAAACAGAGTATCATCAATTTTTAAGTTTTACCTATCTAAAAAAAAGAGATCTATTTGAAATGGAACATTTTATGGGATTGCTAACAGTTAGGGTTCGGGTCCCAACTTAAAGAAACAGTGGTTAAAAAACATCTAATCTAATCTAATTAAAAAACAGTACTGAATTCTTATCTTAGAAACAGAGCCTAGTGCTGGGCACGTTCAGGGTTCCCTGCACCAATGGGGAAAAAAGTACCAGAAAGCTTGCCTTGGAGGTGTGGCCCAATGGTTGCAAGAATGAACTCCAGCACTGCTTGGAAAGGCTGAATCCTGTCTCTAGCAAGGCCTGGCTCTGTGCTCTTCAGCAAGTTACTTAACTTCCCTGAGGTTCAGTCTCGTTACCTGAAAACAGAAATAATAACTGTTGATTCTCGACTAAGTTCTGAAGGGAAATCAATGTCAAGTAGTGCCTGGCACAAAGAAATGATATAAAAGTATCAGCTTTTAAATAATGACCATCCATCATCAAAACCTGATTCAAAAGTATGCTTTTCTGATATGCAGATTGGAAGCAGGAGAGGCCTAAGCAACGTGGAAGAAGTTGGGTTCCTCTGTCCATTGTCCACCTGGCTCAGAGCAGCCAACTCGGAGCGTCACGTGAGCTTGGGAAGCCGTGGGGCCTCGTGGGGCTGGGAGGCAGGCAGATCGGATTAATCAACACACAGGATTTCTGACAACAAACTGTTGCAACTACATGATTTACTATATTCTGCCACAAAAAAAAGAGTAAACTCTGTCATGTGAAAAGAGCAGATATTTTATTTTAAAAGAAAAGAATCAACCTTTATGATAGGAGAAAACAATGAAAATATTTTCATATCTTTTATGACTAATTTTATAACCTAGTTATAAAATGCTCTTTACCCAGGTCTTCCATGACATTTTGCATCAGGCAGTTTAAAGCATTATCTGTGCTATGTAAGTCCTTAAAGTTTAAAACGCTCTGATGTCATTCAGCATTTGAAACAAAAAGAACACGAGGATCTTCAGCATTTGGCAGGCAGAGAGAAGAGGAGGATCCCGCACTGGCGTCTGAGAACGAACAGCCAGAGAAGCAGGGAAAGGCCAGGAACTGGGCGCCGCAAAGGCCAAGGAGAGAGTGGCCAACTACATTGAGTCCTGCTGAGGTTGCGAAGATGAGGACAAAGCAATGACAACTGACCGGGCAAAATGGAAATCACAGAGTCCTGGAGTAGAATAGTTTGGGCGGTGTCCCAGGTTGCAGGCCTGGCTGGCGTGAGTTGAGGAGGGAAGATGAAAAAGCGCTGATTGCAACAGAATAACTCTGGCTGTGAAGAGAAGGAGAGATGAGCCACAGGGAGCGGGGGGAGAGGGGAAAAACTTACTGGTGGCCTGTGGAAAGCTGATAGAAGGATCAGTGTAGAGGGCAAGGTCACAGTATGAGAATTCACGCGTAAGATTCCCGGGAAGACCGCAGGAGTTCAAAGCACGGGTAAAAGGTTTTAGGACGAAGGGGCAGCTCTCCAGTCACAACAAGAGGTTGGGGCTGGGTGCCAGGGCTTCTGTTCGGTCACTCCATTTAGCGTAATAACCGCGATACCATGTAGTTAAGGGCCGTCGTAGAGGAAGGCACCAAAATCCAATGGGAACACTGAGAAAGGAGCAATGACTTTTCTAGCATTCTCTCTCTCTCTCTTTTTTTTATCTTTAAAATCATTTAATGAAAAGAACCTTCTTGATTATTAGGAATGGCGCTATTTTCCAGAAATTTATGGATTTCCTGTTTCTGATTGAAAATGAGAGAGACTTGGTATAGAGATGACAGCCAGCATATTTTTAATTATTAAAAGCCTGTTTTCATGGTCTCTCTGTCCCTAGTCTTTCCTTAGCTCAAACCTAACTTCCACAGAGACAGAATGATCTTTTTAAAAGCAAATCTAGTAATATTAATCTGCCAAGCATTTTCTTATTAGCTTCAAACATTATCCAGCAGTCATAGACTTAAATATAGTGTAAGTAACTGCAGGGTTGACCTGTCCTAGCTCTTACTGTACATGAAGAAAATTGATACCAGAAAAAAATAAATAAATGCCAGGGTTGGACTAGGAACTTGGGGTCCCACTCTTCAGTCAGGACTTTTTTCACTGGGGACTGTCCTTGTGGCCCAGAGAAGCTATGGGGTCAGAAGAGTCCAGTCTGGATGGGAAGGAGCTGGGATTGGGTTTCAAAATTATTCTTGTGTTTTATTTCCTATCAAAATGACAAAATTTTAATTATAAGGTTACAATGGTGTCATATTTAAAACACTACACATCTAGTTCAGCTCTGTTTTGACTGATAATGAAACAATTACCATGGACCTAAAGGAATAACCCTTTATCAACAGAAATCCTGACCTTCCTTAAAAGCTATACCAAGAATAGACAGTGAAAAATTTTGCTCTGAGGCTACATAACATAGAAGTTGCAAATGCTTTACTAGAGATAAAAGAATCTGTAGGCCTGTTTAAAGTTTCTT